GAAAAATACTTCAAAATCCCTTGCAGCAAAACTTACAGCTAACAATAGCAGAGCAATAGAAGCTAACAGGAGACATCAGCCATCAGCCAAATAGAAATTGCCAAACACTCCTTAAGAACACAAAGCCCACATTGCACAAATCCCAGAACTTCAAAGTCACAAAAGCACATAAGAATCCTTCCACTCTCCATCTCCCTCCCTCTGTGTCTTACCTCCAGCTGATGCTACCTTTCTTCATTCCTCCTGGAGGGCAACCCCTCCCCTGCTGCATTTCTTGCCTGTTTGTTGCTGCCAGCACAGGTGGCTGCCACAGAAGTTGTAGATCGGCTCATGGCCGGCCTGCTTGGACTCCTTGATCTCCTCTCCTCTCCCCCCCACCCTCCTCCTTCCCCTTCAGTGCAGCTAGAGCTGACTCCACATCCTCCCGAGGCTGCTTCTTTTTTTTCCCTCTCCCGCCCAAACTGCCTCCTTTTATAGCTTCTCCTGTCTCTGCCCCCCTCCTCCTCCTTTCTCATGGGGGAGGGTGAGCCAGAAGTGAGCCTGGGGTGAGGCTCAGCCTCAGCCACTCTGCAGCTCCAGAGGACTCTCACAGTAAGTCCTTGCCTGCGCTGGCTCTTTCCCTCCCCCACTACACTTGGCTAGCAGGGCTGCGTACCACCTGCCACTCGTTAATGTACCACAAGTGGTACGTGTACCACCGGTTGAAAAGCCCTGCCTTAGGGGAGGGGACCCGCAACATTCCTTGCCTCCCCACTCTAGTGGGTTGGGTAGATGTGACTGGGAGAAGACGGTCTTTCAGATAACCTGGTCCCAAGCCATGAAGGGCTTTAAAGGTGACAACCAGCACGTTGAATTGCACCTGGAAGCAAATCGGCAACCAATGCAGCTCCCGCAGGAGAGGTGACACATGTACACAACGAGGTCTGCACAAAACCATGTGGGCTGCTGCATTTTGCACCAACTGGAGCTTCTGGATGCTCTTCAGGGGCAGCCCCATGTAGACCGCGTTGCAATAGTCAAGACGGGAGGTGATTAAGGTATGAGTGACTGTGAGTAAGGATTGCTGGTCCAGGAAAAGGCATAACTGGCACACAATCCACAGTTGCGCAAAGGCCCTCCTGGCCACGACTGCCACCTGCTCTTCGAACAGGAGTCATGAGTCCAGGAGTACCCCCAGATTACGCAGTGCCACCCCATCCGAGACCAAAGGTGACAATTCTCCATGGGCCAAAGAACCTCAAACCCAGAGCCACTCGGTCTTGCCAGGGTTCAGTTTCAACCCGTTGCTCCCCATCCAACCCCTAACAGCCTTCAGGCACTGCGAGAGGGAGGTCACAGCATCGCTTAACTCACCACAGGCTGAGACATACAGCTGAGTATCAACAGCATACTGATGATATCTCAGTCCATGGTGATGGATGATCCCACACAGGACACTTCAAATAAGTCCTATTTGTGTGTAGTTTCACAGGATGTCACACTGAGATTCTAACTAATTCATTAGTAAACCTGATTCCACCTTGCTACGACATCAAACTGAGATTTCTTTCAGTATCATCTTTAATCAGCCAATCCTTCCAGAAATGCTGATTTGACTGTGAAGCTGAGCAGACACTATGTGACACCTTAACATGTTTATTCCCATATTAGGAAGAATAAGGCATATCCAAATTTACCAGATTATATTATTTTACATATATAACCCTATTAAAGCCCTTCATGGCATGGGTTCAGGCTATCTGAGGAGACGTCTTACCCCAATGGGACTAGCCTGCCCCACTTGCTCCAGCAGAAGGGGCCTGCTGCGGACCCTGTCTGTTAAGGAATTCTGGCTGGCAGGCTCAAGGAAAAGAGCCTTTTCTTCCATGGCTCCTGCCCTTTGGAACATCTCCCCCCCCCAGGTGTGAGATTCGCACCCACCCTTTGGCCTTCCAAAAGGGTGTGAAGATCTGGCTCTGCCATCTGGCCTAGGGTCCAAATGGGAGCACATCTAAGATAAGACCCCACCTCCCCCCCCCATGTGCATCTTGCTCCCTTCCTTCCAATCTTTGTCAATTTTAAGCTAGTTTGATGTTACTACTGTATTTATAGCTTTGAAGGTTTAATGTTTATTGGTTTTTAATTATTGTAAGCTGCCTAGAGCAGGGGTCCCCAACCTGCGGTCTGTGGCCCACTACTGGGCCGTGGCCTCCTGGCCACCGGGCCGCAGAACAGGCTGGCCAGTGCACGCAAATGTGTGTGTGCACTCACCCCCACTTGCGCCACAACCGCTATGCAAACAGGGCACCGCACAGCAAAAATGGGGCACCACCACTATGCAAATGGGGCACCGTGAAAACAGGGTGCCACGCAGTGCAAAAATGGGGTGCCACGCTGTGCGAAACGGGGCAGTGCTAGCCCCCGGGCGGCAAAAATGGGGCGGTGCTAGCGAGTGTCACGCGGGCACTAGCAGCGCCCCGTTTGTGTCGCGCATGCTCACGGCCCCGTTTGTGTATGTGTGTGCGTGCACATAAAATGCTTCCCCCTCCCTTTCCCTCCGGTCCACCAATCGAGAAAGGTTGGAGACCTCTGGCCTAGAGTCACCTCCAGGTGAGATGGGTGGCATATAAGCTGAATAAATAACTAAAAATAACACTGCCACAAGACCTTTAACAACTTCCCATCTTGAATACAGGTAGTCCTCAGGTTACAACAATTGGGAGCAAAATTGCAGTTACTAAGTGATGTGGTCATAAAGCATGAAATCATGTGATGTCACATTACTTAGCAATGACAATCCTGGCAGTCCTGGTTGCTGTTGTAACCCCATGATGTGCAGCTTAACAATTGGGAAGAAGTGAGGGTCCCAGGTAAGGAATGCAGGGGTTGCCATACGGAAGTCAGGGGAGGGCAGGAGAGGGCCAGCACAGGCCACACAGTGCTGCAGGCAGGAGAAAAAGCAGGAGTGAATTACCAGAGCAACCCGTGACACTTCCTGCTTGCTTCCCCATTGAATTTGCTTGGGAATGTCACAAATGGCAATTACATGACCACAGCTCCCTGTAAAGTCATATTTGCAAGCCAGGCACCTGTGTGCCTAGACCACAAGCACATGTCCACAGGCATAGTATAATGGTTGGAACTTTGAGGACCAATTGTACGTCCAGTTTTTCAGCACTGTCATAACTTCAGCACTGTAACTGTTGTTGAACCAATGGATGTAAGCCGACGACTAGCCATACACAGTTTAACACTATAAAGGTGCTCTTGAACTGCATATTACCATTGTTTTTACTTCATACATTTTACTTTTCATCCTCATTGCGCTTATAATTCATGCCTTGTGCACAATGATTCATATTATTTAATGTTTATATTATTATTCAGTGATTTTCATAAAAATTGTGCATGTAATATGTTAGTTTGTTGTTGTACCCCAAAAAGAATCTAGTTTTCTGACTATTTCTCAAAAGTCTTACCCAAAGTTTCTGGAATGTTTCTTCGCTCCCTTGTTACGTCTGATAGCCTAATAATTGTCCCTTCTTTCCGTTCAGTTTTGAAACGTAACCGACCAGACTCTTCATCATCTTCTTCCTCCTCATCTGATTCTTCTTTTGTCTCTTCTTGAAACTCCAGATTTTCAATAACTGCCTGTAACAGAGGAGGACAGGATAGAATACTGACCTTCACATTTACAAGGCTTTCAAATTAAAAGAAAACTTTAAATCAGTGTGGGAAGTCCTTCATATGTAACATCATGTATGCTGCCTATATATGGTATCTAAATGACTCTAAATCACGACACTTTTATGTTTACTTCATCATGCAATAATAAAATACCGATCTTTTCTTAAAATTCACACTGTTCAAAATTATAGTACTAGGTGAAATTTCTGTACCCAATGGACTAAAATAGTATAGGAAAAGAATTGATCTAATTAACACATGCTTAAACTCAGCTGATAACAATTATGGCTAAACCACCTTATGGGTGGCTGACAGGATCTGCAGCATGCCCATTCTGCTAGATCGAGTTGGACTGCTAGAGACTCTTGGAAAAAGGCGATCTTTCAGGGAACCTGGTGCCACATACCATTACAGTAAGTATATTTAGGATCACAGCCATAACTCTTAACAAAAGTTTGGAAATCTTTCTCACTGCTCACTTCTTGTAACTGAATAACCTTCCAATAAAGCATAACCAAATAGAAAATCAGTTAATAAAATTCTTGGAACTGTAGTAGCAATAACATTTGAATGGAGGGGAAGTATACCAATTTCAGTTGGGTGACTTTGGCAAGATTCCTCTGTGCAGTCAAAGCCTTAAAATATTCTCTTACTTGGAACAGAAAGTTTGAATGATGTCAGGTATTGTCTTAATACTCATAGGCTACCTTCTTAAATTACTGAAATTAGTCTGTTAGGAATGATTGAACAAGAAAAAAGATCAGTGCTAAGTATTACATATGGTGCCTTTAAGATATTTTTTTCCAGCTTCCGGTTTGCGTCGCGGTGGGACGGGACGCAGGAAGGTAGGGCTCTGCCTTCCGTGCCCAATTTTGCCCTGCTGGGGGCCCGAAAAAGGGCCTAAAGCAGACATGTCCAAAGTCCGGCCCGCGGGCCATTTGCGGCCCGCGTTCCGGTTTAATACGGCCCTCTAACAGCCCTCCCAGCTCTATGTAAATGTGGCCCTCCCACGGCCCTCCGGCAAGTCCCATCAGAGACAGAGACAGAGACAGAGGCACTTGCACTTCTGTCTCTCTCTCTCTCTCTCTCTCTCTCATGGGACTTGCCCCCTCGCAGGGTTCCTCATTGGCCTTGCGCCCGGGTGCCCCGCCCCCTGGGAGAAGGGCGGCCAGGAAGTCCCTTTCCCGGGCTGGCCCCGTCCCAGGCGCACGTGGCTGGGGAGCCATGCGGGGAAGCCCCAAGATGCCCACTGGGAGTGGCCTGCCCGAGCCTCCGCTGAGCGGGCCAGCCTTCCCGCAAACCGCGGCCCCGAGATCAGCCCCTCCGATGCCCAGCCGGCGCCAAGCAGCAGCAGAGCCGGAGACAGAGGGTCAGTGCCGGGGGGAGGGAGGGGGCTCTGAGTTCATGGAGCACTGCCGCGAAGCGGCTGCGGGGCAGGTGGTGCGCCCCCCCGGCTTACTTGTTCCAGTCTCGGCTGGGGCATTGCTTCCTGGGCCTCTCCCTGGGCAGCCGAGCCAGCCACATGTCTCCCTGTGCTGGGCGGCAGTCATGGCTGGTGCGGCGGCCAGCGGGAGCATCGCTCCCCGGGAAGCCGAACTGGCCACATGTCTCCCCAGCCCGGGCCGGACGGCAGTCAGGCATGAAGCTTGCCTGGCTGCCGCAGGGCTCTCCGCCGTCCGGCCCCACCTCGGCCCCATCGGTGGCACCTTCCTCGGGCACTTTCAGGGAGCCGCCGCTGCTGCCCTCGTTGCTGCAGGAGAAGGACACCTTGGGATGCGAGGGCGGCGGGGCTGGCGGCGATCGGGACCCCCCCCTCGTCAGCACTCCCCGTTGCCGGCGCGGCTGCCCATGGTGCACCCGGCCTTGGCGCCCTCCTCTTAAGACGGCGAAGTGGCTGAGGATGCGGCGGGGGTGGCGGCCAGGCCAGGGGCGGCGATGGGGACCCCGATGATGCTGCAGTGGCTGCCACCAGAGCCGCTGCCTCCCGTCCTGCTCCCCCTCCCTGCCCATTTGGCTGAGGACGCAATGGGGCCGCCGCCACTGGAGCCGCTGCCTCCCGTTCTGCTCCCCCTCCCTGCCCCTCCCTGCTTGTTCGGCTGAAGAAGCGATGGGGGTGCGGCCGGGAGCTTCTACCTTCCGTCCTGCTCTCCCCG